CAGAGGAGATCTTTCCAGCTTCTCCCAGTTTAGTTTTTCGCCTTCCGCGTTCGTGTCTTGGCTGGAAATATTGCGACGTCACATACTGCTAATGCAGCCAGCTCTGTGACTCGTTCCAGAGGGTCATCAGAAAACAGCTCATTGGTGTTGCTGCCACTGGTATTTGGGGCTGAGTCCCAGCCAGAACCCCCGGGGCTGCTTCTGCCTCTGGAGGTCACCCTCTCTGCGCTGAGCAGGGGAGGAACAGAATCACAGTGTGACTTGGTCCCTTTCCACGGGCACCCTAACCTTTCTCCTCTCTGGCCCTTCTGCTCGGCCACACTGCCTCGCACAGAGCAGGAGGGTGAATCAGTTTTTAAAATGCAAGGTGAGACTCGGTGATGAATGTCGGTGACGAATGTTGGTGACAAGTGTCGGGAGGACGCCTCCCCACCCCCCAGTGCCACGGCACTCACAGTCCACGTTCCACCGCAGCGCCCAGCCGTGGGGCCGCAGCAGGTCATGCACCGCTTCCAGAACCGTCTGCAGCTTCTGTTTCTGCCCGATTTCGGATTGTGTTACCTCGGCCACGTTCAGCTTGCAGCCTGCCAGCTTTTCTGCAACGAGAAGGACAAGAGCAAGAGGCAGAGGGTCGGAACGTGCCAGAGGGACCTGGAGCCCCCCACCCTGGCTGGAATGAGGTCCCCAAGGTGGAGCAGAGCCACACATGACAAGAGGGCCCTTTCTTGAGGTTGAGCCAAGGATGTTCATAATCCTTAGAAAAGTATCCCAGAATGAGAAGGGAGAAGAATGAAGGACAGAACTGGGTGTCACACTGGGGAACATTCTATGCACATAAAACGGGAAAAATAATTGGAGAAGCAGCTGGGAGGCAAGGACCCACCTGGGAGGGAGGGAGTGCGGCCGGGAGGTGGAACCTGTCCCGGCGAGTCCCAGAAGGGGGACGACTTTGCCGGAGATAATAAGAAAAGGTCTCAAAGGTTGCCCTGCACCTCCCCATGCACCCGAGGCTCCCCGTCTTGCTTCTCTAACGTTCTGACAGCGCAATAAGAAGTTTGATCAGACAGTCACAGAACTTGCGACTATTCATCACCAAGAGGGAGCAGGAAGCAATCTCGAGGAGCCCAGGCGGGAGCTGTCACATCTGCTCAAGATTCAATTACCAGGACTGAGACCCAGCGGCCTGCGCTCCCTCGGCCTCCCTCTGCCAGAGGCGGGTGTCGGCAGGCGCAGCCCCCAGGCCACGACCCCATGCCTGCCACGACCCCACGCCTGCCACGACCCCACGCCTGCCACGACCCCACGCCTGCGGGGGGGCAGCACGGCACAAGGACCCCCAGGGCTCCCTCCCACCCTTTCATTCTAAGACTCCCGACAGATCCCTGCAAGACGGAAGCCACGTCGCACACTCCTCACGGGCATGGGAGAGCACTCACCGGGAGGTGATTACAAAGCGCTCGGCACCGAGCCTTCGGCACAGCACGGAGGGAGACCATTAAAGCAATCAAGTCCGGCTGGCCACAAATAGCAGTTCCATTTGGCACGTGACCCCAATACACAGCCCTGTCCGCAGCGTTTTAGCTGGAGGCCCCGGAGCTCCGACACTGCCTCCCCCACGGCCCCCTCCCCCAGTGAGAAGGAAAACAGCTTAGGTAGCCCCGCGGGGATTATATAATTAGACACCAAAGCCTCCTGGGCTTGGGAAACATCTTCAGTCATTTTTTCATTCATTTGTTCACTTTGCTCACTCACAAAACAGTTACTGAGCACCTACTATGTGCCAGGCATTGTCCTGGGTGCCGGACACGGCACAGACGCACTTGATGACGTCAGATCGAGACGTGGGGAGTGCGAGAGGAAGCACAAAGCGACCCGACAAGACACGTCCTGCAAGCAAATGGAAACGGTTCCCATTTACACATTCTGACCCCCTCCATCTGCATCTCACAGCGCCTAGCGGAATGACGCACAGCTGTCTGTCTGTCTGTGTGAACACCCTGCGCACACACAGCAAGCAGGCCCCACAGGTGTGCGACAACCGAGGACAGGGCGGAGCAGGCGCCCTTGGAGAAGGAAGGAAGGAGACAGGGTCGTAGAGAGCCAGGTGGCCCCCAGGAGAGACGGGGGACCCGGCACGCCCCTACTGGCCCCGCCGCCAGACAGCCCTGCAGACCGAACCCAGCCACGTCACGTGGGGTGGGGGAGGAAGAGTCGACGGAGAAGGGAAGGAAACTGTGCAGTTTGCTGGGGTTGCCGTAACAAACCATCACAGACTGGGCGGTACCAGAAACTCATGTCCCCACAGTCCCGGAGACCAAGAGTCCAAGATCAAGGTGTCGGCAGGGCTGGTTCCTCCTGAGACCTCTCTCCTGGGCTTGTAGGTGCCGTCTTCTCCCTGTGTCCTCACGTGGCTGTCCCTCCGTGTGTGCGTGTGTGTATGTTGTCCTAATCTCCTCTTCTTACGAGGACCCCAGTCCTATTGGATTAGGGCCCCCCCAAGACCTCATTTTAACCTAATGACCTTTTTAGAGGCCCTGTCCCCAAATACGGTTGTTGCCAGGCCCCTTGAGATTTTAGTACCCCAGAATTTTCTCAGTGACAAATAACGTAAAATCACCAGGCCCTGGTTAGCTTGTGCGTGTTAACCGCTCGCTTCCTGCCCAGCAGCTTGTTCTCCCAGCAGTTCTTAACTGCTGATGCCGCTTCTTTGTCAAGCAGGAGGAGGTAACTCGGGGTCACGAGGACAATCTGCGAGTGTGTTCTGCAGAAGGAACAAATGCCCTTAGGAAAGCTGCAACCGGCTGCTGACGCCCAGAAGCCTGGTTCCTCGAGGTGTTATCTGAGATTAAAAACAATACAGCCTTTCACCCCTGGCTCCCTGAAGCTCCCCTCCCTCCCTCCCGAGACACATAAAAGCTCCCTGCTTCATCTCTTGTTAAGACAGATCTGAGAGACTCTGCTCTCCTGTCTTCTCACTTTGACCAGATCGAATAATCCTATCTCTGTCTCCAAGCACCGATGTCACAGTGCTTGGCTTCAGCCGTGCATTGGGTACACGAGCCTGAATTTGGGGTTCAACAACATGGTCACATTCCAAGGCACGGAGATTAGGACTTCAACGTATGCATTTTAGGGGGACACAATTTAGCCCATAACAGAGACCAAGGAGACTGGCCATGCCCACGTGCTGCCTCGGGCTGGGTCTTTGGTGACTCTCGGGTATGACCGAGAATAAGGTACTTGGTTGCCAGCATCACCAGCATCACTGTGCTCACTGATGGGGTCGCAGGAGCCGCTCAGGGCTTTGTCACGGGCAGGACCTCTATCTTCCCAGCACAGAAAGAGACAGAGAAAGGTGGGGCAGATTCTCACGTGTGGCAGGTGACCGTGGGTGATGGCCAAATACAGGGCTGTGAACACGTATGAGGAAGGGCCTGACCTTTGCAAGGAGAGGATGTGTCCGTGAGCTGCAGCAAGGCAATAGCCAGCCCGGGAGCTCCCGCAGCCCCTAGCATGGGCACCCTCACTCTGGCCACACACGATCTACCTTGAGAGCAACGCTGCAAACGCCGGAGAGCTACACCCACAGAAACCCGGCACGCAGCAGAGAACCTGGCAGCTGCTTCCGGAATCTCCTCTCAAGAAGAGGGACTCACCTGGGGTCCTGCAGGCGACTCACCCTGGGCAACCTCCACGTGGCCAAACCCAGAGGTCTGTTCTCTGCCTTCATCCCACTCACTCCCACCTCCGTGAAACACCTTCTCCTCTGTCCCTCCCAAATGCAGCACTCCTCTGGTCCCCTCCCTCATGGCTGACGCGGTCAGACTCCTTCGCTGGCACTTCCTCTTCCTGACGACTCACGGCTGACAGCCCAGGGCCCAGTGCTCAGACCTCTTCTCTGCTAGCGATGCACAGATGCCTTTGGAAAGCCAAAGAGCTGAATGCCTACATCAATGTCATTCTTGGCATCTCTGGGCTCAAGGACCATGTGATTACATAGATTACTCTTACCTCTTGTCAGTTTAACAACATCATTCACACAACCAGGCAAGACATGTTGATGTTGTGAATATCTGCATATTCTCTTCCATTTTTCTTATTTCAAAATGTCATGTCAAACCACTTGACCTACAAGAGATGTTAGAACTGCTTTCTCAAGTACTTATGTGAGATATTCAAATGAGACAGAACAGCAGCTACTCCATGATAAAAAGGCTGCCTGAGCCAAAGTAAGCCTCCTGTTGTACTTTACAGGTAACAAAACCGATGTAGCAGGACTCACTAACAGTCACAGCAACGTCAGGGTAAGGACTGCATTTGCTGGGGCCAACTGAAGAGGGAACCAAAAGGATGTGCCTTGAGAGGGACGGATACTTGCTCTAAAAGTGCCCCTGTCATTCTACTCCAAGGAAAGCGCTGGCATTGTTGACAGGCAACCATGGCTAAGATGCAGATGCAAATTTAGAGCCTGTACTATGACCCTGAGGGCCAGGTCCACAGCCACACTGCTCTATATGAGGCTCGGGGACACGTTATTGCAAGTGATCGGGTGGGAGAAGCCGCAGGTGCATGCAAAAGAATCAGAAATAAAAAATGTAAGTGAATACAACACTCACGTTTGCTTCTGAAAATATCAGAAAGTATCTGCTTCAGCTAATCACCAATTTGAGGGACTGCTTCAATAGAGGAACATGGTCACCAACAGCTAGTACAAGTGTCTTCCAGCACAAGTGTCGAGAGGAGGTAAGTCTCTATCATAATCACCCTTAGAGAGGGAGAAGACTCGACAACCCAGGAGACGCTTCACCATCAGCAGCATCCTCTCAGACAGCATCAGCCAAAGATCGACGTGCTCCTCTAGCCTCCTTGGCTGTAGGTGAGTGTCCATCATCATGTGTCTGGTTTGAAGACCTCGAGAGCAGCTAGCGTCTGACAGTGCTGAGAATGACTGAACTGACACTGCAACGTAAAACGTCGAAACTCTGACCACTAACTTTTTTATAAGATTGCAATAATTATGAAACAACCTTGATTAACATTTCACATTTATTCCGGTACCACGGGAGCTCATTCTAAGACAGGATTTTCACCTCAGCCAAATATAAATTTTAATTCTCAGCCATTTGGCATTCAGCCAAATAACGAATGTGGAACACACTCTCCAGGTGAAGGCACCCAGTCACACAGCGCCAACCTCATCTCAGCGCTGCGGGCTGCACATACACACTGCAGCCCGGGCTCCAGGCCCACGCACCCAGCAGCGACTCCACTAGGACGGCATCTCCACCTCACATGTGACACCGAGCTCCTCTGTCCCCACCCCCACCCTACGCCAAGGGCTCTCTCACTCACCAGTTGCTCAAGCCACAGCCCTACATCAGCCTTGATTCCTCCGGCGTTGTCACTGCCAAAATACCTCGCCACGTCTGCCCGCCCACTCTGCACCGAGCCGCCTCACGTGCTGCCTGGGCTGGGGCAACGGCATCCTGCTCAATCTCTCGGCTCCGACCCCTGACCCTCCTCCCCGTGCATTCTGCACCCAGAAGCCCCAGTGACCTCTGAAAACTCTAACTCAGATCATGTCACGGCCCTACTC